AAGTAGGAGGTCGATCGATCCTGGCGACCACCAAGAAGCGATATTGAGAACCACTGTTCCAGGATTCACCTGCGTCCGACGACCCCGCATCCGGAGCTTCTCATCGATCATACAGGTAGTGAAATAGTCTGACTCACGATTCTGTTCTTGGTTTGTTATTGCACACTATTGTCGGACTGTTCAGAATCCTCGAATTGTCCAGATTTACCCAAACAGATGAAGGAACACTACATGAAAGGACATATAAATAGCTTCCCTGAGCGATAGTTAGACAATTAGTATTATTGCTTTGTTAAGAAGAGATTTCCATGTGGCTTCTGAAACACGATTATATATAAATTCCAAATATATATAGTTCTGAGGTATATTTTCTATTGAATATCGATATTTTCTATTGAAAATCGATTTTAATGTTTAATGATTTTCTTAATGAGAAATCATACTTATTTTTGCAAAAATGTATTAGAATATTTTTTAATTATACTATTTTTTTTCTTAATTTATAATAAGAAGAAGCAGAATAACGATTAATAAAATAATTATTGCAAAATATAATGTAATTTATATAATCAAAACGTTTACACAAAATTCGGGAGATCCAGATCCAGATTTGAATTCTGGCTATGATGATATATTTCGCAATAAATTATTTATAGTGCTTTAAAAATGTTTACTAGCATTAATATTAAATTGCTTGCTAGTTTAATTTGTAATATTATGTATTCCGGCTTCAGTTTAAAACTGTGTTTTAAGATCGAAAAATAATTAATCGGTGCGCAGTTTGAATTAGAAATTAAAAAAATTTTATATTCATATTCTTGACTTAATATGGCTTTCTTCATTTATTTTTTTTGTAATTTGTTGTAATTTTATAATAGGTACAACATTTGATGAATCTAATGAGAAAGTATAGTATAGTGCCTTAAATCTCTTAAAAAATGTTAGAATATATCTATATAAATTATATTTTTGCTAATAAGAAGCAAAATTGCGATTAGTGAAATAATTACTATAGTTTATATCTTTGTAGAGCATTTAGGAGAATTAGAGTTCACTTAAATCCGAGAAAAACAAGCTCGTGGATGCTTTCTGCGCTGTAATTCTTAATTATATGTAGTAATTATATGTAGTCCTCTAGGGACTCAGCGTAGCGTGAACAGAGGGGTAAGTTAACCGCAAAGTTTACCGAAGGAAATATGAGAAAACGTAAAACAGATTTCAAGATTCAAAATAATCGCTCCTTTTCTACATATAATTATTTGAAACGGCAAGATTATTATCTACTGTATTTAATCGTCGTTATCATTTTCCACAATTTTATCATATCCACAAGTTGTCCTCCATTTTCTGTTTTTATGTGCACATACATATGCAAGCCAATGGAGTCAAACGTGATAGGCGTTTTTGATATCATTTTGATGGCGTCGTAAAAGCAAAAAGCATCAATGCAACTCTCGTATTTTTACAAACTACTTTTTCCTATATACTCATTTTCCATAATCCAATGCCTCGCAACATCAAATTTCTCAGTTATAAATCAATTAAAATCTTACGTTTTCTAGCAAAATTGATAAATTCTTTGATGCAAAATTTGTTTGTAAAACTTGTTTGCAAGGAAAAATAATTCAGAAACGAATGATTGTCTCTGATACACGTTTATTATTATTATCTTTCATAAAATAGAATGACACAATGTGTACTATATTATGAAGCATTGCACATGTATTGTAATAAACGCATCAGTCTTTCGTTCATACAACGTGTACAATAAGCCATCGAAATTAATATCAGATAAAGACACGAGGAAACGAATACAAATGATTCTTTCATCTATTTTTTAGAGAGAAATGTTCATTAATCTCTCTGAAACAATTTCTCGCACTTGGAGCACGCTGTTGGAATAATTAAACAGATTTGCTTTGACTGACCCACTTCTCCCTTTTGAGAGTAGAGTATAAGTTTACTGCTAGCATATTAATGAATAGATGCAACATTTGCAATTTATTCGAATGTATGTTTTCTCTAAGCAAATTCTCATCTGCTATTTGTTCGGTAAATTAGAAATTCAATGCAAACATAAATATGTGAAATAATCGCACAATATTGATCTTTGTAAGATTACGTGATATCTGATTTCTGAAACAATATAAGAGAAAAATGTTGTATAAACAATGTGATATGTATTATAGGTATATAAAATACATATGGCGTTTATTTAATGACATCTACATTTGAACATTTAATTATATATATTATTGATTCTCGATTTTTCTATGTTATTATAAGTATCAAAACAAGGGTCTTTTGTTATTTTATATGGCATGTTCATACATCCAATCGATATATGATAGGATGTGTACATTGTATACACGCTAGTATATTTTGTGTTAGTGCAACCAATCGAAAACGAGACGAGTCCTGAGTTGTTCATTGACAGTGAGAGGACCATCAGTATCTCTCTAAAAAATACAATTCCCCGATAGTTAAAAATATTTCACAAGGATTTGATTGGAAAAACCAACTCGCAAACAGTGTTATGTTTTACAATTAACTAAAAAAATACGTTTCTCTGTTTAGTGCAAAGCTAGTTCGTGTTGTTTTCGCTTTATTATTTTTAAATTAAATTAATGATGAATAGACTTTCGATTCGTTCAGCTGCGAATTGTGCCAATCCTGCTATTAATTAAATTAAATTAAGAAACCTAACAAGGAAACCGGAATATGATAAAGTATAAGCGTTACATTAAGATATTGTTTTTAAAAACAATTTGAAGCTTTGCAAGAGAAGAACAATGCGGGCTAAGAATTAATGACTCTACTTGGGCAGAATTTTGCATGTATGACCGGTAACAAAAGATGGCAGTGTTCTATATAAAAGTTTACCGAACATGAATTCTTTCTTACGGTTGAATTTGCGCAGCGTGAGTTATAAATGCAATGAAAAAATTCCATGTATAGTAACTAACATAACTAAAAGGTTACTTTTTTTAATGACACTTTTTTTAATGAGTTTCGAATTACAATTTCAGCGATTAATCTTTGAACCCATAAATAAGAACAAGATAGGCTGCATTCCAAAACTAATCTAAAAAAAAGTATTACTATCTTTTAACCATGAATACACTTTTCTACAATAGATCTGATTATTTATTCTAATATTTATAAATTGAAGATTGAAAAAGATTTTGACGAGTGGTTTGTATAACTGGATATGTGTATAAATTCACACTGAAATACTTAAGATTCACTTCACAGATGCGCGCGATCGAAGATAGGATATTATTCTTAATAGGATATTATTCTTAATAGGATATTATTCTTGATTTATTTTTATCGGTACAAATTATAATTATTAATATCTATGACGTATTTGTTATACAACTGATTGATTCTCTTTCCTTAAGATTGCAAGTATATAAAGTACAAATGTACACGTGTGACTTGTGAGAGTAATTTGAAGTGCGATTCTCGAACAAATTACATCTGAAAATTTAAATGATTGAATTGTTAAGACTTATTAACAATATAGGTTATGAGTATCCCGATACAATCGACGATTACTATTTAGCGTACTTTGACAGCCAACTAACATTTTCTTTAGCTTTTCGTAGTTTTTGATATAACAAGAATGGAGGACTCCTGCCATCATTCAAGTCATACTACATATTATATAATCATTGCAGAATCAGAGAAATTCCAAAGTCGGTCGAATTTCACAATGTAATACTTTTTTTACTATGTGATGTTCGGTTGCTTTGCAATTTTATTTCTTTAATCTAACAAGATATTGTTATATATAAAATAATGATATCTTTATCGCAACGAGATGTGTAGATTCTTTGTCAAATCAAATGACTCTTGAAAAATAACTGAAAAATAAAAATATTACGATGCCATGTGCATAATCCACTGAGGATTTTTACGAGAACCATACTATTACTTCAACAATACATCAGAGCATCTAAATTATGTTTTTGCTAATGAATATAATAAGAAAAAGCAAAATTGCGGTTAATAAGATACATAATTATTACGAGGCATATGTATTTATATCTCTGCAGTACACTTAAGAGAATTAGAGTTCATTTAAATTCGAGAAAACAAGCTTGCAGATGCTTCCTACACTGTAATTCTTAACAATTATGTGTAGTACTCGAGATAGCAGCATAGCGAGTGAGTGGAGATGTAAGTTGCAGCGCAAACTTTACTGAAGGAAATACGAAGGAAATCGTAATACCTGTGTTCAGAGCTTACAGTAATTGCCCGTTTTTTCACGATAATTATTTAAAGCGGCAGAATTATTATTTACTGTGTATTTAATTGTTTTTATTTTTCATTGAATAATTTTATCGTATGCATGAGTTATTAATTTTCCGTTTTCCGCTTTTGTGTACATGTAAGTATGCGAATCAGACAAATGAAATAACATGGATCGATCGAATGCCAGACGTTTTCAATCATTTTCGCCTTGGCCACGTAAAAACAAAAAAAAAACGGTGCAATTAATGTCTTTGCAAACTACTTTTCTACTTAGTTTCACATCCGATGCCTCAAATTTCTCAACGACACAGCAATACATCAATGGAAATTACATTTTTCCTTTTTGACAGAATTGATGAAATTATTTATACGCAATTCGCTTGCTCGGAAGTAAAAATAATTCGAAAACAAACATCTTTTTTTGCTACAACGATTTTTGTCAACGATTATTATCGTTTTTCGTAAAATGGAAGAATATTATGCAAATTATGTCTTTCAAGAAGCACAGAGTCTTCCATTTATATAATCTGTTCGCCTATAGGGTATAAGAGAAGTACAGAAATTAATTTACAAATCAATATATTATGGACTCAAAGATTTAAAAACGAACGAAATAATTAAAAAAGGAATACGGGCCAAGCAGAATTGTTGTGCTATAAATTTAACATTACAATATATTCTTCATTTATATCATTTTACAAACATTTTGACTCACATCGAATTATCTTCAATGTATATACTTCATATTGGTCAATATATGGTAAATCTTAGATTTTAACGGCTAGTATGAAATAGAAATACAAATTAATGTTGGATAGAAGCAAGACAGATGCACAGATTCTTTTACCCATTTTCAAGAGATCAATGTTCATTAATCTCTCCGAAACCATTTTGCGCATTTGGCGCACGGTGCCAGAATAATTAAGTGGATTTCTTTTAATTGATCCATTTCGCCTTTTTAAGATATGTTTACTACTTTATCAATCATAAAAATAATTAAACGGACTATATGTTATATATACTCGCAATATCTTATTTATTTGAACATATATTTTCTTTTAAATAAGTTCTCGTTTAATGTTGACTCGGTTTGATATTGTTAAAATAAAAATTATAAATATCAGTTTGTAAAATAATTGTATGATATTGATCTTTAGAAAATATATATCTGATATCTGGAGTGACATTAGGAAAACTTTGGCATAGCATGTAAGCTATGTGATTTATTAAATACATGATTTATTTTACGATTTGCATATGACATCCACATTTAAGCGTTTAATTATACATATTAATTTTCAATTTTTGTGTACATATCATTAAGTATCAAAACAGATTATTATATTTCGTTTAAATTTTTTCTATATTCTTATTTATCCAATCGCTGTACGACGAAACGCGAGTATACACAGCGGGATATTCTATGCTAGTACAAATGTTAGGATAAAGTCCAAACGAGACGAGTCCTACTAGCAGTCCATTGACAGTAAGAGGGCCACCAGAATCACCCTAAAAGATACATTTCTTCGATAGTTAAAAATATATTTCATTAGAATTTGATTGAAAAAAAACAACGATATTTTTTAATTAATTAAAACTATACTTCTTCGTTAGAGCAGAGCTAATTCATATTATTTACGTTTCGTTATTATAATTAATTTGATGTTTGATGATGTTTGATGATACTAAATTCTTAATCGCTGAGCTACACGATCTTATTGTCAATTAAATTAAATTATAAAACATTACGAAGATCCCCGAATATATTAATGAACAAAAAATAATCAATATAGCATATTAACAATTAACAAATTAGTAATGCAGCAAATTATTGTAGCAATTAAATGTTTTAATGTAATGTGCATGTAGGTATTATTAAGTATTATATTAATTAATTAATTAATTGCTCATTAAAAATATGATAAATGAAATATTGAAATCACGATGTGTCTCTAATGATTTCCGACAATGTACGATATAATCAGACTTATTTCCTAATCGAAAATGTGTATCACAATACGCGATTAGAAATGCAAGCGTTATATTAAGACATTATGTTTAGTAATTATTATTACGGTGTAATGGTGAATTGAACCTTCATGTTGAAAGAATAATGCAGGTTAAGTAATTATTTTAATGATTTTATCTGAACAGACATCTTATAATTATATGTATGATCGACAATTAATGACGACATATTGCAATGCCTTATGTAAATAGCTTACCACGCATGCACCCTTTTGTATGGTTGGATTATTTGCGCAGATTTGCGTATCCTCAATGGTTATATTTGCTGCTGCATCAAACAATTTTCTACAACAAGTCTGATTAGTTATGATATTGTCTACAACGTATAAATGTTCAGTCTCTTCTCCTTCACACTGCAAATATATAAAGTACAAATGTATATACGTGCAATTTATGAGAGCAATTTGAGATGGGATTCTCGAATATCTAGCGCCTAAGAATCTAAATAATTGAATTAATAAGATACTTACAGATATTATTCCGAATCCCGATACTTCTGCTATCGAGCCTCCCTTGACAGTTTGATTTTGTTTCGGTAAATTGACAGAACATATCCGAGAAGAAAATTTTAATGGCTTTTGAAGCTGAAAATAAATCTTCTGTATATCCTTTTTCGCAGTCTTAATTTAATTGCTTAATTCACAATTTAATTGAAATTATGGAATTATGGAATGAATGTTATCATACTACACGTTATCGTTACCTTAAGTAAAGCGATATCATTGGTCAAAGGTGGAAGATTGTACTCTTCGTGTATGAAAATGGATTGAACCAGACGCCTTGAATACGGTTTTTGTAAATCTGTTGTTCCCGCAACGACCGACAGACCCGAAGTGTTGGCACTGTGAAGAATATTAAATAGTATTTTTTTGTATCTATACAGGGTGTTGACGGTGCAACGGTCTGCATGATTTTTTAGATACTTTCAAACACTTCAAGTTGAAAGATGAATATTTATTTTATACAGGCTATAACATGCAATAAAAAAACATTTTATGAAAAAAAAATTAAAAAAATTTTTTCGTAAATACCAGACAACTTAAATTTTTTAAATAACATCATATAATTTTTTTTCCAATAATATTGTTGTAATATTGGAGTCTTCAAGACACATTTAACTCGATTATCGAGGAAGTTATTTTTATTGATGTTTTAATGATTTTATTAATATCAGACATGCAGCATTATTTGAAATGGTTACATCTCTTAACTCTCTCAATTTACATCTCTGATTAGAAATGTACACAAATTTATGATACATACATATTATGTATTAATGTAATAAGATATGCAATAAAATCAAAACATTAATAACATAAGACATTTCAATAGTGATTTGAATTCATCTTGAAGATTCCTATAT